TTTATATAGTTAGATAATGATTTTTCAGTTTATTGAATAAACTTGTGGTTTATACAATCTGAATTTCTAAAATCTGAACAATAGAGAATTTTATTGTTTTGATCAATCAGGTTTCTTTTATAATATAACATCGATGGATCCGCAAACAATTTTTGTAAATGGAGTTTTTTTATATCATTAAAAACAGCGATATAATTAACGCGATCGAAGTTATTCCACCACTCTGTATATCTTCGATAAAGTTACTTCCAATTCCAATTGACTGAACATACAGAATTTGACATCTACCAAAGTGTAGATAAAAAATCCATCTGAACAAACTTCCCTCATCGACTTTTAACAGAGTACACCCGGTGATGGCCCGCATTTCATGGTAGATCGTCCTCGTTCACGGTCAACCTTGTTGGAGAGTTACTCGTTAAATGTTCTCACTCAGCGGGATACGACTTGACGCGAATGTAAAATAACCGGCTCGCTCTATTTCCCGAACTCGTAGCGTCCTTAAGCCCTCTAATACCCCTTAAAATATTGTTAAGGTACCCGGCCCTCCGGTAAAATATAATCGTGCCGTAACGCGTTAGCCTTACGAAACGCTTTCAGCGAAATTTCAATTACCACTTTCTTCCTTGCTAATGAAAATTGGAAACAATTTCCCCTTGTTTTTGCATGGAATGCTCGTTAATTTTTAGGGAGGCTTGGTCAGCCTACTAGTTAATAAAATTCAACAAATCAAGCTCCTTTAATATGAAAATGCGAAATAAACAGCCCCGTGGTAAAACGAAGGATATGTTCGGGTATCGGGGAAATAATTAAGGTCAAAATTTGGTAGGAAGTAGCGCGATGGTGTCGTAAAGCCAACGATATCTCTATCATTTTGTAAATGATTAAACCGACTGCAGTTAGTTCCACGTCATAAACTCGGCATCTCTTTTCAGGCTTTTTATACCGAGTCTTTTCTTCCAAGATAAAAGAAAGCTCGTCCTGACGGGATCGATGTACGCAATTAACGTCGAAATCGATCGGCGCTCGATTCTTTAAACGTATATTCGAGAGGGCATTCACGAAAACCTGTGAATGTTTGACACAATGTAAAGCCCGGCTGAAACTCCGACCAAGGCAGGGTTTTTACGAAACAACGTTGGTTCTGTTTGAAACGGCTACGCAATCATGTGGCTACGATTCGAACAGGTTCCAATGTGTTTCAATTTTTTGACAGGGGACACAAGGCCGGTTTATTTTCCATACGATTCGTTACCTTATTTCTTACTCTTTTCACTCGAATTTTCGCAAGGTCGCAATTTTCGTTTACTCTTGTTTTATGAAAGCTCTATATTTTCGTGGTCATATGAAAAATCTGTAAATATTAGCATAACCGAAGTTACTAGCAATAAAAATTCGGTACAGACGAGAGGAAACGAGCCAGGAGACTGTACCATCCCGTAGGAGTTTCTGGGAACAAAGCGGTTAGAGCTCGTTCAACTTCCAGTGTCCATGAGAGGCACACCCTTATCCTGCGAAGCTAGACGGAAAATTCGGTGACCTTCCCCAGGGAGATGCCGATCGTTATTACGGGGTAACATGAATTCTGGGAGCCGGAGAAAAACTTCGAAGCTACGTTTATTTTCTTTTTTGCTTTTTATCCAAACCATTCTCTGGCAAACGGTCCGTTGTCTTTTACGCAAAGTGTTTCGGTAACTTCTACGTAGGAAAGCTTGTTCCGCGCCATTGTTCTAGGTGAATTCCCTTGAGATAAAGCGGAAAAGAATATTGTATAAAATTCCAAATGAAACTGTTGTCGAATGTGTATCGAAACAATTAACTTTTTTGTCAAAAAATTATTCCTTCCGCGTATATGAAGCAGTAATTGCAAATTGATGGTTAAAATTTTATGAAGAAATTTTCCTGGAAAATATATTTATTTTTCCATGGTTCAATGGATGGTTCAAGATCATTCGCGTGAAATTAGCTGAAGAATCCATAATCAATTCCAGATGTACTCAAAAGCCAAGCACGTTCGAACTCCAATAGCTTTTCCACGTCAGGTGCCTAAGAAAAACGTTCTCTTCGTGTCTCTATTGATACCTCGCTATCCCAACGAAGAAAAGACTAATCAATATCGGGAAAACCACGTAGCCTAGTAGTTACGGATAAATTGTTGGAACTCCTGCTGAAAATCGAACCCTGTCCACGTTCGAATAGAAATCAAACCCGGCTTTTCTCTGTTGGATTTCACGGAGTAACGATTGAAAATGTGCGAGGATATGTTTACACTGGACTCGTGACCCGAAAAGTTCATTGCGATAGAAGATCAACTGTTAAGTTCACTTTCAAGTCAGATTATTCACACATTTCTAATCAAACAGAAGGTTTACTCGGTTCAAAAAACACAATTTTCACCCGAATAGATAAAATGTACTTCAAAGAATCCTGTCTAATCATCCATGAATTTCTACAACGATGAAAACAATTGTAAACTGAAAAAGTTTCATAAAGCACAAAGTTATCGCTGAACCAGAAATGTGATATTTGCAATGTAAAGAAAATATATTTATAATGATATTATTTCTGAGGGAAAAAGGAAGAGATACAAACGAAATTAAATTGAAACCCGACCGAAGCTTCAATTCAGACTCAGGTAAGAATGAATCGTGATCGTCTGCTAAATAATCCAGCGTTAGAGAGTTAAGAAATGCTCGTTAGCACGGAGAATACTAGCAAGACGGATAGTTGGCGGAAAGTGGCACAATTTCGAAACAAATGAGTCTGGTAGGATACCGAGACAGAGCCTCGGTGTGCTAATATCGTTGGTACGCGTACGACACGCTCAAATGCTTGAGGATTCCTTGGCTTTCGCTAAACTTCTCCCTTGACAGACGTTGTTCCGTACGTCAGCAACGTTCGTGGAAGTTCGCAGAGACATCGACATCGTCGACGGCTTCCATTCGCAAATATTGCACTGACATTTCTGACTGTACAGTGACGAGAAACGTTTGTCGTTCGAAACCGGAAAACCCGGTATCAGATAGAACTTTTGAATTTTTTCTTTTCTGAATTGCTCGATCTCGCGGAATACAGCTTTGCAGTCTGAAACGTGGAATGCAAGAAACGCAATAAGTCGTCGTCGCTTCGAGGAAATCCTTAATTCCGAGAAGATTACGGGCAGCTAAAGGACTGCGACACAATTTGAAGATAACGAAGCGCGAAAGCGCAGGAAGAAGACGCTTTGAATCCGCTAAAAAATGCGATCGACCGTTTCGCAAGTGGAATACCGGTATTTCCATGCGAAAGCGGACAGAAGTAAGGGTGAGATTGCCGACGCTTTAGAGGTTCTTCGGGTACCGCAAGAAAATGCTCTTGAAGGGCAGCTTTCTTCTTTCTCTTTCCTTTTTTGTCTTTCATCCGCTTTTTCCTTTCATCGACTCGGAAACGAACGACCGTCTTGAGCTCCGCTATTCATCCTAGATTGAGACGGAAGTCTCGCTGCGACTATCGTCACAGATGACCCGTCGCGACAAATTCGCGCCGAATTATGCGTTCGACCTTCGGACAAAAATGAGACCACGATTTGCGTGGGTCGATTTCGAGACGATCGCCAAAGTTTCATTCATAGTGCAACAGAAATACCTGTGCAGTGGAAATAGTAGCGTCATTGTGGGCGAAACGTTATTGTACAATAATAAACGTCTAATATTATTATAAGGAATATTTACACTTGAAATTTAAGATAAAAGTAACTTAGAAATTAGTTAATTAGAGTTTGGAAGCTTGAAAAATATTTACCCTCACCGCGGCTATTTAACGAGAGTCTACTGTAATATTAATATTTTCTGTAATTTTGGAGGGAATGTGCGACTTCATCAGTCGTTTAATAGCGGAGCTTCGCTCCAAAAATTTCCTGATAGATCGATCGGAATCTAAAGTAGAAACATTCCGTGCAAAATTCAGAGAATCTAGAAGACGAAGTGAATTCTAACGATCGCAGTGAATAATTCCCGGATAATCTCGATACGTGCGTGGAAAGTAAAGGCCCGTTTGAAAGCCAAGAGCTTCATTAGAGATTGCATCCCGGAATTTACGAGCACCGCGGGCGAAATAGTATCGCGATCGAGCCCCGTGATTTTAACAAATCGCGCGCTTTTACACGTTACCAAATACGCCTAAGGCTACACAGCAGATAAGGTACCATCAATTACCTCCGATATTTCGTCGCATAAAATTACTAAAAATCGCAGCCAGGAAAAAAGAAATTACATTTCATTTCGCATCCGTTGCGAGAATGAAAGGGTTGGTCGATGGAATGCTTCGCGTCGCTGCGATTTAATGAATCGCCGCTTTCATGAATTTGCACCGAAATAAAACGATTTCCTTCTCGTCACGAAATAAAAACGTGCGAAAAAGTACGTTGTGCCATTTGCAAATTGAACCGCGCGTATTTCGAGGGGAAACAGTCTGAAAGAAATAATAGAAAAAAAGAAAAAAAAAAGAAATTTGAAAAAAAGAGAGAAGAAATTACGTGACGACTAGAACGAACAAGTTGGCCGGATGCCAGAGCGATTCTACGAGGCTAACGACATTAGAATATTTGTCGTATGAGCCGACCAATCGTGGCAGCGAATTCTCCTAAAACGATTCGAAGGATGCACGACGACGTTGTTTCGCTTCTGGCTGCCGTTTTTCCTCGAAAGACGAGCTAAGAATGTTACGCGAGGTATATTCACAGGAAATACCGGCATTGTCGAGATTGCATCCGACAAGGTGGATCGAGAGCATGCATAAGTATACGAATCCTTTTTCAATTCCAAACGCAGTTAGGATAATCGAGTCTGAACACTCGTACGAAAGCGAAGGATCCGCGTTTTTATTCCTACCCGTATCCCAGCTTGAATAACATCCTCTATCCAGCAAATGGAAAAACCACTGGAAATCCATGATAGAACAATGTACCATTCCCATAGGTTTGCAACGATTTCTAACATAGCGTTTCTCTTCTGTCGTTTCAGCTAACGAAGGTATGCTGTTGAAACTCGACTTCCGAGACGAGTTCAAGCTCGAGGAAAGCGCCGACTGCCGTTACGATTTCCTCGAGGTACGTGACGGCCAGCACGGCTACTCCAATCTCCTCGGCAACTTCTGCGGCACAAATTTCCCCCCAGAGATCACGTCCAAGACCAGATACCTCTGGCTCCGATTCCACAGTGACGATAGCATCGAAGGGAAGGGCTTCAAGGCCGTATGGAATATGGTTCCTAGACCAACTTATCGTAAGTCCACGGTATTACGATCCTTCTTCGTCGTCCGTCACCTTGTCTACCGACGTACACCTCGATTCGTCGATTGTCAACGATGACTAAACTTTGATTCTTCTTTTTTATCGCGATCAACTGACCGAGCCAAGAAACGAAATTCATTTAACGAACGGGCAGAGTTTTGAAAAATGACGAAACTTATTTAGTGCCGCGAGAGTCGTTAAATACTGCACAGGTTTTCTAGCGAAGAGGCTCGCAGACCTCGAGGAAAGAATATCGTGGCGTGATCGTTATTAATGTCCTACGGGGGACGGGGTGATTCTATAGCGAATACTTGGTAGTTCTCGTCGCGTTCTCGGTGGAGAAATTACGAGACACTTCGGGAATAGATGATCTACCGTACCGTGTACTATGCGAGCGCGGACCGAGTCCAAAATTAATTCATAGTCACCAGGAAGAACGGGGAAGCCTATGAATACACGGGATGCACCCGCCGCTACGTCGCGCCGGGGTTATCGAGCATCTTCTTAAATCTCCTTTTAGTGCTACTTCGCCTTTAAATCGCCGAGAATCGCGTTAACTGTGCAAATCTCACGATTTCACAGAGTGCAATATTTTTTCTAATTTTTTTTTAATGAAACATTTCACTTCCGAATTTGATATGTTCCATATCCTGAAAATTCTTTTTCACGTAGGAAAAAAAGATAGGTACACAGATCTGTTGAAAAAAAAGAAATGAAATTATACAATGTACACACGGCACGCTAGTAATTAACTATATGATTGTACAACCGTTATACTTTTTCGAAACATTCACTTTTTTGCTAATAGGTTTTTTTGATATATCGAGTTTATATTCACACAATTTATAAAAAATTAAAAAAAAAAAAAAGAAATTGCAATTTCGCTAAAAATTTGTTACATACATAGTGATTGTTCATTTTCCGCCGTTATCATTCAGATTGTAATGTCTCTCTGATTTTCGTCTGACACGACGAATCGATAACACATCAAAGCTAGTAAAATACTTTGAGGTCGTACCGTGACAGCAGCTCGTATCCATACATAGCGCGTTTGAATTTCACGACTTCCTGTACATAATAACGTCAAGTTTCCGTTCGCCGGGTAAAATGGATACGTCGGAAAGGCCGATTACCAGAAACGCGACAACGAGCAGGATGACGACGATATTCATCCTCGTTTCATACGCCTCATTATTGCTGCACATTTACGTTGAAAACCGGCGCGATGAATACCTGGTCGAGCACCAGGGTTGCTCTTAATACGCTCCAAAACGCGCGGCTTTCGACGTTCGGTGAATCGATCTTATCACACAGCCTGGCTGGGCATTAAAACAGCGTTACGATGATAACGACCGTTCAAATTCAAGCACCGACAAGGGGGGAAATTAATCCGGCGGAGGGAGCTGAATCTCCACGCGTTTGATTAATTTCCCGCTTTTATTGTGTGCTCCCTCGGTCACGGGACTTTATAAAGCCAATTCGAAACGGGAAATTAATTATACCTCCAACAATGCCCCGGCTATTTTTTCTTCTTTTTTTTTTTATTTTGTTCTTTACCGATGGTTGATTTTTTGCACCGAAGGGATTTTCTCGATTCGAGCCCGACGTTTGTTCCAAGCTAGCGCGTTCTTTATTAATTTTAAACAATTTTTCCTGCTTTCCTATCGACGATTAATGAAACGCGTTCCTACGGATATTGCGAGAAAAGAAAATGATAATGAGCCGAGGGGAAAGCGTTTATACTGTAATAGGTGTGATCCACAGCGGGTGTGCCGCCGGAACCAGAACCATGCGTGCGGTACGTGAATGGTTCGGAGGCGATTATCAACAGCAACGACGTGAAGGATAGAAAGAAACTAGCTGAAAAGGAAGGCATTGCCATAGACTGCCTTTGGAACATCACGGTCAAGGAGGGGATGAAGGTAATTACACTATAATTAGTACGGCGTACGATGAACAAACCCTTCGAGTTTGATCATTTAAAACAAAAACAAAAGAACCGACGTCACAGCGAACAGCCAAGGTGTCGCGTATATCGAAGAGGAACGTTCCAAAGACTTTATAACCCGTCCCTTTATCAGGATTCCTTTGATCCTTATGCTCTCGAAAACCTCATCCTTTCCGGGATATTCGTTCTTTTTTTGTTCAAACGTAATCACGTCTGGCACAAAAATGCCAGCAATTGGTGACGTCCGCTTTGACTCATACAATTTACCGTCTAATTGGTGCGGATCCCTTTTGAGCTTTTGCTGTTCATCGGGCGGGAACAGAAGGAAAGGGAGAAAGGGTGGTGACGGGTGGAGGCTTTATCACGAGATCGCGTACAACTTTTCAGATTCAGCTGACGTTCTCGGATCCCTTCAAGCTGCAACGACCGAACGAGTGCGACGCCAACTTCGTGGACATATTCAAAGAACGCACTGACATGTCCTCGAGAGAGAAGAATTTCTGCGGCAGTATTGCCGACACCGTGGTCATAACTACCAACACCGCCTTTGTCAGATTTTACGCGGAGCCGAAAGCGTTGAACAGCAGCTTCGAGGCTGTCATGACAGCGCTCAGGGACAGAGATCCGGGAGACAAACGTGAGTCTACCAGATATCACCGATTAATCGTTCTCCAATACCTTCGATCCTAGAATACGTTTCGTCCTACTACCACGATACTCGTTTCACTGCACAACACGTCATCGTCGCTTGAGACACGATAATAGGGCCACCCGCTGCTCTCCATGTCTGCGTGCAATCTATGCGCGCGTTGTGTTTGCATTTCAACTAGCCTGCACGCGAATCCTACCGCTTGATTCAATAATCGCAATCATTGAATAAATAGAGAATTTGCATTGCTCCCCAGAAGCTGAACCGCGAAACAGAGTCATTAGCGAGTTTCAAATAAAATTGGCGAGCTTTCGGAAACAAACAAATCGATTAAACCGTAATCGCGTTAACGATCCAGATTGTTATCCCGTTGAAGAACGTTCGCTTAACTAAACAGCCTGAAAATCAATCGGTCGAACTATGCGTGTTATCCTTTCGTTATATACCCTGAAACGTGCTTCGAAAAATGGCTGAAATTTATCAAACACGACATTAATCAAACAGCTGCAACGTAATTACGGCTTGTTTCGAGTACCCCACCCCTGTATGTTCACCTTTTTTAATTATCTGCCACGCTAAATAACGGGCTACTTCACGAACGAGAAACTTTAACTTCCATTAGCCAGCCGATTGTGAGAATATTACGAAAGACTTTGTTCGCGACACGCAAGCAATTTCAATGGAAAGTTTCATTAAATTTAACGTCGTCACGAGCCGTTCGTTCAAAGCTTTCTCGTGTTCACGGTTGGAGTGGTACAGTCTAATGAAAATCTACAAATTACAAAAGGAAACGAGCGATATATCGCAATTAGGTAATTGGGAAATTAATTCTTTCGAAGGATGGAAAAATTGATGGCTGATCAAATGTTATTAACGAGAACGAGTCCATTAACAGCTCGTTATTTTCCGAAACGTCAGCCTACAGGTCATGACAATAACCGATGAATCGATAATACGATAGCGTACGGTAAATTGGAAAATGGGAATGTCAATCTCGGCCTATCGGAAATGCGATTTCCATCCCGTAAAATTGACGTGAACGATGAAAAGTTACTTACGTAGAGCAGACTCTGCTCTCTCTCGTCTCGACCTATTTCCCTCGTGACATGCTCCGAATTATTCTTTCGCGATACACTAGAAAATGCGAAACCTTTCGTGGAGCTTGAATCGTATACCACAAGGAAATACCTTTAAAATTCCATGCATCTAAGCTACTCGAGATGAACATTGTTCGATAGAAGCCTGTTCCTTCGGGCACAATACCTACCCATTATTCTATGGAATAATAACGTTTAAAAATTCAATAAGAAAGAGGATGGTTAGATTAAATTATCGTATTACTGATCGATTGAATTTTAAATAATATCTAATTAACATTCGAGTGGTAATACCATCGAAAACGGATAACCAATTTCTAAGAAATATCCGATCGCGATATAATTCCAATTTCTTTCTATCTAAAGAACAGTCTGATTGCTTCCACAGGAAGTTTAAAATATCTAAGAAATCACAATTTGACTTGCCACGCTTTTCAAGCCCAAGACATCCATTTTTCAGGCTGGTCACAGAAGGATAACCCCTTAAACGGCGAATGGAGTAAGCCGCAGCGAAGCGGTTACGCGCATGGAATCCGCTTTCCTATCTCGGCACGAAAAGAATGTCTGGCTCTCCACACCTGCCATCCTCGCGAAACTAATATCTTACGGCAGACTTTCCCAGTGGATCGAGGAAATTCACTTATTCCCCTATCCGCCAAACAATAAGATTTTAAATGAAAACTTCCATGCATGATTCAAATGTTCGCATTGCCGACATACGCTTATTATTAACTTGTATGACATGACATTAAACGTTCCACAGTTTGATAATATCTTGCCTTTTCTTTTTTCCTGGAATCTTTTCAGCTTGCCACGATGACGAGTATTACTGCGAGGACGCGACTTGCATCGCAGCGAATTTGCAGTGCAACGGAAGAGTCAATTGCCGTTTCCGATGGGACGAAGAAGACCAAGCTTGTAACGTGAGTGAGCAAACGTTATATCCAGAGTAAATTCAATACCGATACTTCAGAGGCTGATTAAATGTTTTCCAATGACCGGACTCGAATCATTTTCCCTACGTTTTCAGTCGCAGCTCTTCTTATTTGCACCTTTTCTCAACAACCGCGTGCAACGATGACTTCCGTGGATTTACAGAAGGAGCAGAGAAAGACAATCCCGTACCAAGTTTAATAAGATATCTTAGTCTCATCTTCTAATTATCGTAACTAACAGTTCAGAATTCGAAGCTTCTCCGTCGTGTTACTCTGAATTACTTTGGAAAGGACGAAGTATATTATTCCGAGAAAAGTTTACCTTGTAGCTTATTATCAGGGCAAACAGATGGCAACTACAATATCTGATAAACACTGTGACATGCTTTCATCACGTGCAGCTACTCGTTTCTTATGAAAATGTTATCGCTCTCTGACTGCAATTATCGCCGGTATGAAACCGAGGATCCCGGATATACGTGGTACAGCAAGGATAGCATGTCACCCCAAACTTAATCGCTTCTCACCATTTTCCTCTACCTCCGTCTGTTCCGAGAGGGTAATTAATTTATTCGAAGCAAGTTCATCGCTCCTACGCGCTGCGGTTTAGCTCGCATTTAACGAGTCAATAGAAGTGGCGATATTTATTTTAAAATGTTCTAAATGGACATTTTTTAAATTTCCAACATTTTTTATCAAATACATTTCGGTGTCCGTTTTGTTCTTGGGAAACTGCACGGCTTTCATGTACGCAATTTCAGCAGGAACTTAATATTCACCTAGCCTTTCCGTCCTCTCTGTCAGACAGTTAATTAATTTATTCGTGACATTTTGCTTTTGCTGGCTCCTGCCAGTCGTTCTGTTTCCCTGACCTGCTGCTTTCGTGATATCTGAATGCGTATCCGTGCCTCTGCCTGTATAGGGTGGCGTTTCCGGTTCCGAGGGTGCAAACTAGCGCCCGCCTTTGGCAAGCAACCAGAATAAGCTACCTTCGAAACGACGGCACGATGGCACCGACGGGATATTAATCTGACGGGAAATAATGCCGGCGATATGCTGCCGTTCGATCGGTGTCCTTGTTTTCCCGTGCATCCTCGTTCGACGCTGTCTGCTAAACGAGAATCGATGCTGTGAACTAGTAGCTTCTCTAATCGGTACATAAGTGGCATCGATTTGTTCTTGTTTCGAGTGTACTGCTACGTTGGCCAGTTTGTCAGTCGAGATTTCATTGTCTTCTGATAATCTGATTAGAGAATACTGATGGTTTTTGTAGCTGACTATACATAAATATCGTCGAAATTTTCAAACAACGTCGACCAATTTTGGTTCGATAATAAATGTAGAGAAATCAGAGAAATGTTAATTATAGAAATTAATTTGATACCTCGATCCGAACGTTTCTATTTGTATTTCCATAAGAAACGTTCAATTAACAGAGTAAATAATTCTCAACCAATTAACTTCCGACCGCGTACTTTCTTGTTTGCGGCAAAGGAAATACGATCGACGATCGAGTGGCTCGTTAAGGCCGAGTCGAAGAAACGGAAGGCACCGTGGTCGGGGACAAATCCTCGTTTTCTTGGAGGTGAAACGTCGAGATTAAAAGGAGTAACTGCAGACACAATCCCTAAGCAAGGTAAAAGGAGAGAGCCCTTCCATTTGAACCGCAAAAATGAGACTCTTTGCGGTCGTTTGTTCCGCGATATTCATCCGTAAGATCATGAACCTTCTTCTTGTCCCTAGGCCACGGTAAAACGGTTATCCCCTTAAGAGATGGTTATTCGAGAATTCCTTTGTGCTTGCACGATTTATCGGGGACACGGCGCAGAAAGGTCTTCTGCTTCGCTATTGGCCGGAAGGATTCGTTTCTATTTTTCTGGAAATTCGACCGGCATAGAAAGCCTCTATGATGTTTGGCCACGCGAGGAGGGACACTTCATTCTCGGTTCTTGTCTCGGTCAGAGAGATGCGGGTGGACTCAAGGGTAGTCAGTGGTTTAGAGCAATGACTCTTTGTTCCGAGAAGTTAGCCTGACCAGATGGAAGATCAATGGAATAGCTGCAATTTGTTCTGGTTTAAAAAAGCTCAGCTTGCATTTTCTTCTTTTCACTTTGTACGTATAGTACCGCTATTGTTCGAAACGTAAATAATTTTTGATCAAACAATCGCTTTCAAAGCGTTGTAATCGCCAAGCACAAAACATTTATTCCATTGAAACTGAATTCCGTAAGATCACTCGTATGGATCAAACGCGTCGAACTTTCGGATCAGTGAATACCGTGAAACGTTCTCCGCAAGAATAGCCGGCAACTGTATAGATGAGTTTATCGACTTTCTGACACGCGCGTTCTACATGAATTCATCTCGCGTAGAATCGACTTCAGGCTCGCATCCACCTTGGAATTTCTTCGACGTCGTATCTGAAGCGTGACGTGAGGTCGAGGCGTGACGGAGCTCCGTAAAAAATGATCCCGACTTTACCTCCGTTCCGAGTAGCTTGTTTAATCTTTTAAAGGGTGCACGAAGAATAACGCCGACAACCTAGACATTCTTTACGGTGCAACTTCCAGATGATTATCCGTTGTTACACGTCCAAGAGAAACGCGTAAAAGAAAATCCGAATCGCTCATTGACTACGTCTCTCTTGTGAAATAAACCGAAAAAAAAGGGGGAAAGGAATTCTTCACTCTGACGGTTACGACTACGTCAAATCTCAAAAGGGTACGATTCAAAGAATTTAATATTCCGCTTGTCATCCGCGCACGAACGATACGTTGCTTCTGGCGGAAAATGAAAAATCGTGGTCCGCTTTTACGAGCTGGGTTGAATCCCAGCCGCAACCTTTTTTTGTTGTCGTCCGTAGCTTCCCTTATTCCTGTCCCAGAACCTTCCACCGTGCTACCTGAGCGTGTCTCATGACTGCAATAAAGCACGACAAGATTGTAAGCCACGATAGCGGTGTCCCATTCGCATGGGAACACGGCCACGAAATTGACGGCACGAACTTGAATGCAGGACGAAATCGTGCCAGATACGCCAGCCACCCTATCCAATTTTATTTCTCTCTAATGGAAAGTACACCCCCTACCGCTCTCTCCGCTACCCGTCAAGTTCGCAGGTAAATACTAATGGAAACCAGGCGATAGGGAAAAAAAAGAGTTACTTCGAGGAAGCATTCGTAACATAAACCCTGCGTTAAAGTAGATTTATATTACCCGCTCAGACAATATAAAGCAACCCTAATTCAAGATTACAATTTGATCGTGAAAGAGATATTTTCATCGACGATCGGTATCTCAATGGCAGATCATTTAATTCCATTCTTATATACGATCGTACGATTTAAATAAACTTGATATTTGACTTCCACCATTCGTTCGTTCGCATCTTCATTTATATCCATCGTTCTTGACCCTTCTTATAGATATCGATTCTATGTAATTAAACCGCGGGAATCTTCGTTAATTATCGGTGCAAGCTGCGCCAACCCTTTCACGATAGAATGGATCCGAGAATCGGGAACATAACAGAATCTTCCTCTCTTTGATGCATTACGTCCTCTTAATGAGAACTTCTCCAACGCTTTCATTTTGCGACTAATTATTTCTTTTTCTCGGTCGAAAGAAACGGATCCACGCCGGACTGACATTAATTTTCAGGCGAAATCGCGCGAATATCCGTCCGCGATGTGATTCAGGTCAAGGGATTGATGGAATCTATGCGAAACGAGCCGATTTCCATTCATCTATTGAGAACAGCTCGCGCGATGCCTTTCCGAAAAATCGGATTCAATAAAGTCCGTCGTGAACGAACGGGCTTCCCTTTGTCAGAGCCAAGTATTACGTTTCTCCGAGAAATAACAAGCATCTCGAACGGGGCTAAACGGCGTATAACGCGAATTCATCACGCTCTATTATGGGTCAGGAATGAAAATTCTACGAGGCAAAAAAAAGATACATCCACCGTAATGGGAAGTAAATATTTAAACACTGTTTTGATATTTAAAGCCAGGCATTTGACAATGGCAGCATTCATCTTTCTTTCAACAGTCATTAGTCTTTTTCTACTTGTCGACAAGGAAGAAGATGTTTCATTATTAACGCCTCCATTAACTTTTTTCCCTTGAACGCTGACAAGCATTGTCAGGCATAAAGGATTGAGCTTTTGTCATTCCTGAAGGATTATGGATCAGAGTTGTAACTCGAGCACTCTTCGTAGGGATGCTGGATGATGTATATAAGATCCCTGTCAACGATGTTAGCCACCATAAGTCTCGTACGATGTCGAGCAAATATTTTTCCATGCTGACCCGTTGCTCAAAGGATTTTCTCGTTAACCTCAACGTGAACGTAAGAGGGAAAAATGACAAGAGGGTTCTGTAACTAGTGTGTTTCTTCGACAGGCAGTTTGATTACTTAATCCTCGAATTGACTATTTTTAACGATAATCTAATTCTTATTTTGATTTTGGATTCAAATAGTAAAATCAAGATAATTATTCTCGTTTTAATTCGAACGAAATCGTATGACTGTCTGCAAAAAGGAATCGAACAACATGGATAAAGAAAAGATTGCTCGTTCGTGGATACATGTGTTTATTCTACACGATAGAACGCAGCTAGCAACGTAAATATGTACACGATCGAAAATATTGAATTTCCGAGTTTCAGAATGAAATAAATCCATGTTTGCCAGTGGAGGAACTCATTAAAAGTGTTCCCAGTCGAAAACAAACTGACCATCCGGAAGATATATGTATATATTTTTGCACAGATTACGTTTCGGGGTGTGCTCGCCCATATAAGCGTAACAATAAACCTCTCGGGCTTACAGAAGCGGAATGAAACATTTTCAAACCCTCGACAGAAGCATCTCGTTCTCTCCATGGTCACCCCTTTTCGTTCCCTTTACCCCTCTCGTTGGTTCAAGTTGCTCGTGGAAAATGTAAGCGTCTAATGCACAGAAATCTCGTTCGGTCGACATTCGAGAATGCTTGCAGAGCTTCGCAGGGAAAACTAGAAACGCGATAACTCTGTCTATATTGTTAATTGTGCCGACTTACCGCAAAATGCGCTCATTATGCGCCATTGTTCTTATTGCTCTTATCGCGACCCGGTGTTTCACCTTTTAGCGTTATGCAACAAAAGGAGAAAGAAAAAAATGGAACCAAATTACTGATGGCACGGTAATCGTCGCAGCGTATCCGACTATTGTTCGAGGGCATCAAATACGAGAGAACATAATTTCGCGTTAAGATAGAGAACATTTATGATTGCTGTGCCCTAAGGCGCAGACAGTCCATTATCTTAAACAGAGTTAACGTACCTCTCAACTTTAAACCTTTTACACAAATTACAATTATTTGGGACAATAGTAAAGAGCGTACCAGCATAATTCACTTGGATTATTTTCAAACAAACCTGACCCCTCCCCCATTATTTTCACTCAAATACTCCGATCCTGTTTCGCGGCAGAGAAACTATACCGTTTAGTTACGCTACTGTTCATAAAAACTGTCTGGCACAGCTAGAGGATTTCAGAATTAAGCTCCGAATGAAATATGTTCGCCAGCAGGTTGCCTGTGTTCCCACCGTTTAATAATTTTGTTCCATACAAGTGTATACGTACGCACAGTTAAACGAAAAGAAAACTAGCACATAATTTCTCTGCGGTTTTGCTGCAATCTAAGTTCGTAGGTTTCAACGTTTGCCGGACTATGGTATCGGGAATCTCGTGCTTGAATTTTGATCTATTTACACGCGAAACGGTGTATGGCTTTGCAAATTTTGGCAGGTTATTTAATGCCGCGGTTTCACAGCCGGCGTACACGAGAAACAAGGTACACAAAGGGTGAGAAGGGATTGAGATTCGGCTCGGTATGTTACGTGCAACTTCCCGTATCGCGTTACGGTAATTATTCCTGATGAATGTGTACATTGTGATCCACCGAGACGACGCGATTTGTATTTTAGATAAAATTTCTGCATAACCATGTTGATAATTAGTAAGATACGATTGACGATCTCTTGAAAACGCATTGCTCCCATTGTTTTCATGCAAAGCCAAGCAAGCGTTGAAGCTAATTAATTAATTTTCCTACCTTGTTGTTGTCTTGCAGACGAAAAAATCACGGTTGATCGACTCGCAGCATATCGTGATAATCCTCATCGTTTTCTCCCTGATCATGTTCGGCATGAGTTTCGCCTTCGTCTTCAACTGCGTACGGAAGTTGATCCGGGATCATCGAATCATTCGGGTAAGTGAATCTTTTTCCAATAGTCGTTTCCTCTACGAACCGTGCCAGTCGTCTGGAAAATCGTCGTCAGGTATGAATAAAAGTTCTCTGCATAGTCTACGCTTGAAACGTACCGCTTCGAACCAGGAGCATACCAAACTTTACGTTTCAATGATATTTTCGCGAAACGATGTTCATAAAATGATACTTATTCGCGTGAAGTGTCATAAGAATACAAAGAGTATTTTCTATCGACGAAAAACGAAAGATTGAAGCTTTTTTACACTCGATTCGCGTTTCAGGATATTTCTGGAATCCCAATTACGCGTCCAACGTAGGTGATTTCGATTCAGTTCACGATTTATACTTGTCACGTACGATCATACGTGCCTAACACGAGAAAAAAGATTGATAAAGTACAATACGAAACGTGTTCACGGTTCGTTTCACTTATTCCTCGGGCATAAAACGCGGAAAATTGAAATCATACTAATCGCGAATACCTGGAACGCATTAATAATTATTAACAGTCAAATGGAAATTAAAAAACTGCTACCTAATTACTCGGCAAAAATTGCTAGAAACTCGTAAAACTTTGCTCATTAATGTTTTAACTACAAATAACTACCTTACCAAATATTCCGTTTTTCGTATGGTTTCCGTTCGTTTCAATGAACAAACTTTTTTCCTTGATAAGTATATAACGATACTTTTGATTACTTTTATAATCATAACCGAGACTCATCTATGTAAATATTCTTTCAATTAAATTTTGCATTCGATTTCAAATTAACAACCAACGTGTACTTCAAAACGAATGTAAATACTATCGAACAGAACGGATAATTTATCGCAGCAAATTGTGAAGTTTCAATCGAGTTCGAACCATTTAAAGCTTCAATATTTGTCCGACTAATTGAAGGAATTCGTTTGTCCTGTCCAGGAACACATCAGACAGTCAAGAGAGAATCGATTGGACGAACTTGGTCGTAAGACGACACCTTGTCCAATCTCGTCTTCGAGAACGGACATCGGGGATCGAGGTAGCGAGTCGCCGAGTTTAGAAGTGATTCCCAGCAAGGAACTTTTACCACCTACCACCCTGATAGCACAGGATTACACGAAAGATCTGGTATTAGAGATGGCCTACAACACGAGGGACATGAACGACATCCACCAGAGTAACAACGTTAGCAACGCGACACAAGAGCGTTTGCAAGAATCGAGCGAGGAGCCTGAAATGCGGGACAATTCGTGTCAAACGCGAGAGAGCCTGTTCGAGGCACGAATCTCAGACAACGGGGTGCCTATAGGGTTCACGACGTTCGGAGTGCGCGGACCGAGTTCACAAAACGGGACCAATCATCTTCATCACCATCGCCATCATCATCTGCACCATCACCAGAGTCCGCCGCAATCTCGTCAGGGTTCATTGCCGTCTCAGCACAGTACTACCCAACAATCTTCCGAGCAGAGCTCTCAGCAAGTTGCCTCTCAATGCTCCGGTTGTAGTCCAGCATCGAGAGGTCGAGACGGTAGCATGGGTATTTGTCCGAAGCACAATCCCATTCCAGCCCCGCCAGGCTGGTCGACCCACGAATCCAACTATCCGCCTACCCTGCATCAAGGCACCCCTTACCCGGAACCCCCGGATTATCCTTCGTACCAGAGGTTCCAAAGCCCGAAACCGAGCAGAGAGAACAGCGCTTATCGCCAGTCGCCGAAGCTATTGAGACAAGGGACAGTCGGCTCCGGCGAGAGGTACGGTAGTTCTATATACGGCTCTGGACACGGATCCAGCAACACGTCGAGCGCTCAACACTCAGCCACGCCAAAGTGCCCTCAAACGACACCGGATCCAAGGTACAGAGCGGAGGCGGTGATAGAAGTGGATCAGAGGCGGCCTTTCAGTATAGAGAGCACAAAGAGCGCACCGGACGTGATCGCGACTCACTGACGCCGGGGTCCTGGGGATTGGGAGCCCTACAAGAGACGCCATCCCCGTCAAACCGTGACCGATCATCAGTTGCATGCTCGAAACGATGGAAACAAGGTCACAGTGGCCACACAGAGCTCCTTGGATGATGATGCTTCGACCAGCTCGACCATAGAGGCGAATTCCTCCTCCTGATCCACGCATACCGGGGCGATCGATCGATCTGCCCAATCGGATCAGGACCTATCTGACCAGGACGATCGAAAGCCTCTCGAGAAGTCCGAACGGAACATCCGTGAAACAGAGAGACGGTACGACGTCTCGTTACCGAGATCCACGGAAATCGGCAAAATAAAAGAGGCGGGCACGTGTCCGGGCAATAACGGTGAAATCGGCGGAACAGAAGCGAACGAGCTACCCTTACGAGACTTTGTCGGGACAAATACGGGGTCATTACACGGCGATGTCACGATCCTACACTCGACTGGAATAGAATCGATGGAAAGGGTTCCTGTTGCGAGGACATCGTCCGCGTGCCTGGCCTTAAAACCGAACGATCTGCCGATCCTGAGGCCTCCGGAGGCCTTCGGAGCACCCATTTTCCGATGTAAAACACCGACCTTGGCTTGGCAGCACTGCGACTGCCCCTCGCATTCTCATTTACCGCCACGAAGATCGTCGGTTATCTGGAGCGTCTTGAAACGATACAACCAAGAGCCTTTTTATCGAACCTGGCCTAACAGAACCAATCGAAGGTTCGTTCGACCATCGAGAAGAACCGTGGGTACTCAGAGCACGTTCGAAGGATCGCGATCGTCTCTTGGTGGTCTTCGATGCGTCGTCAGGTCTATCGATATGACGGAAAGATCGATGGACCTGGAGATTGGAGCTACCATACCGTTCTAACGTCTACTTTGCGAATCGCGAGAGGTTTGATTTCGCACGCTGAAGGTCGATTGGATCGCGGACCAAAGGTTTTGTACGCGAGGGATTAATAACGAGCGTATTATTGTTAACGTAAGTTTAGAATCGTTTCTCGTTGTTAACTAAATCGGATACTGTTCGTAAACGAACGCTATTTATCGATTTATTGCGTTACATTTGAGAGGCTCGTTATTGTTATTATAACTTAGGCTGTTTCTATATCGATGCTTTTTTTAATCCTTTCGACTTTGAATCAGAGCCCAGGCTGAATTTTTTACTCGCGAAAAATATTCAATAACCTCCTGATCAATGATCAAATTGTGTAACACGAAAGATCGATCACATTCGTGATTACTCGTAATTCGGAAAACAACCGCAGTAGAAGACAAACACAGGTGTCTGCCTATACTGGAGACCACGGTTCATAACGATGCAACAGATATATCGTGCCTAAGCAAAGACGCAAACTGTATATTTCGTTTCCTCCACAAGATATCATTACAAACAGGGGTGAATCCAGACGTTCGCATAAATTATTTATACGTTATGAAAAACAAACAATAATACGTTTTGAAAGATTTCATAACTCTTCTGGATTCACCGGTTATTATAAAACAAAGTTCGTTTTCCACCATTTTGTGTATCTACGTTAGCGCCAAAACGTGTTGCTACTTACCACAATGCGAATCCTTGCTGCTGCATTTTCCTTAATTGCACCAGTCACTTGTAATCGGTGAGAGAAACATACTACGCGCACTAAACACTCGACACTCGTGTTCGTAGAATAATTGTAACGAGTTACATTTACTTTCTCAACGTATTTCCTTGCGAGGATAATTAAAGGACGCGTGAACGAGCAACAAACATATCGGAAACGAGGCTCACTTCGCACTGTCGGTAGCTACAGCCGAGCGCCTGTAGATGGCGAGTCACGATTGAGCGGATTAGTCCGGAACGCTGAGTCCCAAAGTTATTTACGTAGTTTCCGCGGTCGTGTAAACGTAAACGAAAGTGCAGTGTTTGGAAGATTCGTCGAAGAGCTTGGCACGACTCTCGAGAACCGGTTGATTGTTTCTGCGAACGAGTAAGTAGATTTGTTACTCTTAAACGTCAATTCGTTTGACGTACGCGATGATATTCAGGTTGAAACGTAGCCTAACCCTTTTTTACACACGGTATCGATATAGCGGTTCGATTACCGGATACACAAGCGTACGAATATGATATTAGGCAAACTATTTTTCCACGGTGTTTCCACTGATTTAGAGACAATGATCAGGCATGTTTGTGCGCACCAGGTTGAAGTAAAACTTGAAAGAATGCATTTATGATTCGAATCGTATTGTTGATAGAAAGAGTTTCCAATGGGCGTCTCGTATCATTTTTTGATCCCCAGGGTCGTATAATAACGAATTTATCCTGGTACGATAATTCGTTTGGTATTTTATCCGTTGTTTTCTGTCTGTATAATTATCGATCGGTCGATCGAACGAAGCGAAAGCGCGGGCTTTCGAGGAAGTTTGAATTTCCCAAAGACACGTGCGTACGTCGTACAACTAAGCGAGGAATAATTAAAATTAGTCAATTAAAGTTTGAACGATCGATGTAGGGAAAAAAGATTTGCATAGCGAAACGAAAAAAAAAAAAAATGGATAATGTACGAACCACGTGCGTGAATTATTGTAACCAATGTAAAAGCAGTTACGTTGTAAAAGCTGTCAGGAATCTAGTGATTATTTAGTACGTTGAAAAATTCTCGCTTCTGTACAGGTTACGTGTTAACATTGATCGTATAGGACAGAAATGTACAGAAAGTGTACACAATTTGTATATAAATGATACATAAACGTTTGTCTGTCGATTGATGATGCGTCAGACGAATAAATACAGTACTTTTAAAATAAACCAGACGTTTCATCCACTCTCCTACCATAATCGTACATTTATTCTCATAAATTATTCATACGTCGAGCTGCACGGAGAAATTGAAGACGTCTGAGAGGATTTAATCTTTCTCCGTTTTGTATCGTTCGTTGTGAAAAATGCCTTTGGGATTTTTATGATTCTTAAACGCTTTAATAAAGATAAGCTTGCACCGTGTTTCAGTTTTATCCTTTTACGAAAATTGAATATCGCAATGCCGGATTATTCGTTTAACGTTAATCTAGATTCGAGTAAACAGTTTAGTATTTGAGTTACTTTTCGGTAAATGAAATTTAACTGTACAGTAGGTGTTAATTTTCTTTACTCTCATCAATTAAAAGAGAACGTTACGTATCTATATGATTAAGCGAAAGCGTATTTTCGGTTGATACCTTCCTAACGATTAATTCTCTCTTTGCTCAGAATTATTGGATCCCTAGTATAAGCTTCTTTGCCCTTTAATTAGTCTTACATAATTTATAAATGGTCTTTGAGGATTTACCAGCAATAACATATTAACAACAATTAGCCAGGCTTTGGAGTCGCTTTCAGTTCTGCAATATTGGATCTCACTGGATTAAATAAACATCAGTCTCGTAATTATTGCATCGAATGGAGCTGCAATCGCGCAAAGGGATAACGTAAATCGTTAAAATCCATGTTATCCGACGCTGATTTCTGTTCGTTCTGCAGCACCGTGACCGTTTGACGATTCCGAACATCAAAGAAACGGAAATAATGAAGACGGATGGGTTAAATCGCGACGAAATCACGGGTCATCCGGGTGGATATGTGTATATCCCATGTGTAGATTGCACATCTACATGAAAATACAGTGCTCAGTCACTTTTATCTCTTCCGCATAATTTGTAATTTATGTACGGTCGCGTTTACGTAATCGCGTCGATGTCGCAGACCCCCCTAAATGACAATGAAATATTATATTTAACGATAATTTTTCTTGCCTCTTTGATAACACGATATTCCATAGTTGTTTGCAGTGTCAATCCGTGCTTACATCGTGTTCGTTTCATTCACTATTCTTGTTATTATGAATATTTTATCGTCAGATGCAATCGCTCGGTACAATCCGGATTACTCGGCTCGTAAACCATTAACTGAAAACGAGGTAATTAGCATTTCACGATAGCATTGTTCAGATTCAATTTTCACAATGAAAACGTGCAACGAAGCAAAAAATCGTGTCAAGGAAAAGCGTAGAAGAAAAGGGGATTTGCATATTGCATAAGTCTCATAAAAGAGATCTTTATAACTCTTGTTCTGAACATTCCTCAGTCAGTTATGTGCAGTAAATTTAACATCGAATCTTATAAAGAGCTTTTGTGAAAGTTTATTCAGCATGGCAAAAGTTGAATGTTTGTATCTTGAGATTGAATCCTCTATCTGCAATGTGACTGTACATTTTTTATGGAGCTTCTCACGCGTTAAAGGTTTGGAAGGAAATTATTCAGCAGTAGTTCTGCTATTTTCCTAAACCGATATTCAAATGTGGAGTGAAAGCATGTATTAAAGGGTCAAATAGAAATTCTGTATACGTCTGGGGTCGTTCTATGCTTGCTTTGCCTCATGTTTAAATTTCATTCGAGCCGGCAGACATATGAGCATCCAGATGCGAGCTAACTTCATCACAACATCGTCACAGGATAGTCGTAAACTCACGAATTCGTAATACCGTGCCACGTCTCAATCCCCGGTGAAATTTCCATTTAGTTCACGACTTTACCAATTATAACGATAATCCGTTTATGCTCTCTTATTTCGTTACTCGATGTTACATTCAGAATCTCGTACGTTGTTTTCCAATCTTTCGCGACCACGTAATCAAATTTTATACGATTATTTATATCCAGACACAATCTAAACAGGAAGTGAATAGCAACCTGTTGGACGGGTATTTCATTATTTCATCGTGCAACAAAAGGGGGATACATTTATTGAAATATTTTCATAAAAACGGTTATAATTTTAGTTGAATTTCGATTTAACAATCAATAGTTGGATGATCAAAATTTCAGGAACGAATATCGCATTTATTTCTTCCAAATGATAATTGAACGTCATTAAATTTGCATACGAGCGCATCAAATTATTCATTAGTCATAAATGCTGGGAAAATTTCAATGCACGAATTAGTATATTGAATTTTTAATATAAATGAAGTTATGGAAGCAGAAAAAGTGGAAGTGAAATCTTTTGCGGTTGGTTTAATGCATAAGTGAAAGAGGTAGAAAGCTTTCTAGAATGTTGAAAGCAAAGTAGAATCTAGCCAGCTCGAGTAGCATCAAGTTGTCGGAATTTTCCTCTGGAAAGGCGTAAGATGAACACATCCTTCCCATTTACGTTCTTCCCAGCCTCTTCGTTTTTATTGTTAGACATTTCCGTTCCCTCGATGAGAACAGTATTTATCGAAAGCGATTATGCGTTGGCCTCTTGCCAAAGTATTCTTCAAGCGATCTCGCCTGATCTTTCCATCATATAAAACGTTCGTCCTCCACGAACAAAAGAGTCAACGGAAACTCGACTAATCGATTCGCATTATCCTGACGTGCAAACGCGAATAAGTTGAAAAGTTCGTATCATTTAACGTCACGTTCGACGTTAAAATAAAAACACGAGGCAACATTAAGATCTCGAGAGGTCATTCGCTCGGATTATCGAAGAACATCGGAATTCCGAGGGTGCAACAGGGCTGGGATGAAGAAGAACGATACAACGAGGGAACAAGCCTCTACTTTCCGCTGGCTGGTGTATTTATTGAGGCGTCGGTGGGTTAGGTGGAATCGAAGTCGAGAGTTTTACGCTCATTGGAAGATCGCGGCTTTATGACGGGACGCCGTAAAATAAGCATTTCGAGAGCTTCCGGAAGAGGGATCCTTCGGATGTTCCGCGGTGCAAAGAGTACGAGAAAGGGGTCGTGGAATCCGGGTTATATAGGAAGGGTGAAGCTGTCGGAGCGTCAGACGTCCGCGGCAAATATACGTTTGTAGGTCGGTGGATGTTCTTCAAGTAGCCCCGTGCGAGTGCAGCCAACACACGCTCCCTTCTTTCTTTCTCTTTGTATTCGTGAACAGCTCCATGTTTTTACTCGAATTCGTTGTAAGATAAATTTTCCTTTCTTCGCCGCCACGATGTTTGGAAACGAAGAAGAACCGCCCCTGTTCGATTCCCGACCCAATGTTCCACGTATATCCGACGATGGAAGACAAATCCCTTGGCCGGTGAATCTTCTTAGAAGGTATTACGCGTCTCGTTTCATCGGATGAACGTCTGCGCTCGTGGATGGGGGGATGAAAAAAAAAAAAAATGGTCATCGAGTTTTTAAGAGCGATACTTTATACGAAAAAGTACGGTTTCGTGACGTAATGGCCACAGCCGGCATCTTGGTAAATTTATTCGACGAAGGGAAATAAAAGCGGGCGGAAGGGTGGCCCCAGCTGATGGAGAAAGAATACGCCACCGAGGAACGTTTTCAAGGGGTTGAGAAAAAAAAAAAGAAAATTTACGCCCGTTTGGAAGATCACGATTTCATGACGTCGCGAGGTCGCGATCGATTGATGTACGACCATTAAAAGGGACTTTTAGAACGCGTCCCTGCAGTTGGTGGCGACGAGAACGCCTATACTTACCTACATCCACCCTTACAGACGATTCGTGAACCATTATTCTTCCAAGTGCAATATATTTTCTAACGTCCCGTAGGGGCATAAATACCCGTTAATGGTTGTGTCCTTCGAGCCGCGATCGACCTACTTGTTTCAACCAACGAAACTTAAACACTACGCTTCTTTATTGTTCTCGTTAAATATTTCTTCTTCTTGAGCGTGACTTCTCGAACGGGCTCTGAAAACAGAACGTATACTCGGATATCTCGTGGATACTTTGGTCATTTTTATTTATAGAGATATTTAATGAATCAGCAGTTCCAATACAGAGTACATTGTTGTTGAATGAATTAACAATGAACTTTTCGAACGATCCTGAGGGCGGTAATGGTATTGTCGATCAAGGATTTAAGGCTAATGTTCCGTGCAAATACTTTGTCTGCTGCCGTCTACCTTCTCCTCTTCCCTGAATCTTCGTTACCCTCACGAAAGGGGAAGAAGTTTCTTCCTCGACTAAGAAGGATCTACCGTCTTCCAT